ATCAGCGTCGACGTGGGCGGCCCGCCGTCCGGTTTCGGTGAGCGGGTGCCCACCACCAGCCCCGAGCTGGGCTCGGTCCCGGTCGTGCGGAACTACTCCGGCGTACCCGACGACGCCGGCCACAAGGTCGATGGTGCGGTGACCGTAGCGTTCGGCTCTCCCGCCTACGTGGTGTCCGAGGATGGCACCACGGCGACGTGACCGTAGCGCTGGACGCCGATCCGCACCGCGAGGTGGTCATCCCGATCACCGCGACGCCGGGCGGCGGTGCGACTCCTTCCGACTACGCCGTGGCGCCGGCCAGCCTGGTCTTCGCACCGGGCGAGACGCGGCACAGCGTCACGGTGACCGCGATCGACGACGCGAAGTGTCGACGGCGGCGAGAGCTTGCGGCTCGGCTTCGGAACACTGCCTCCCGGGATACGCGCCGGCAGCCAGGATTCGGCCTTCGTGGTTATCGACGACAACGATGGATTCGACCCGATCGTGAGCATCACCGACGTCGACGGCGGCAGCGGGCCGGGCAGCGTCGGCTTCACGGTGACCCTGTCCGGGCCCAGCGACCTCGATATCACGGTGGACTGGGGCATCAGCGACAGCGCCGCGGGCCCGGACGCCGGCTACGTGGCGACCGGCACCCTCACCATCACGGCCGGCGAGACGACCGGCACGGTCAGCGTGACGGTCGGCGACGATGCGGCCGACCCACCCGATCGCTCCTTCAGCGTCACCCTGAGCAATCCGGTGAACGCGGTGTTCTCAGGCGGCGTGGACACCATCGGGGCGCAGCTCCTGGTCTGGGCGCCGTCGATACACGTGCCGTCCGCGCCGGTCGTGAGCGCGGTTCCGGACACGGCGGGCAACCTGATCGTGAGCTGGGAGCCTCCCGAGGACACGGTCCCGAGCGGTTACGAAGTGGAATACCGCGTGCGCGGGACGGAGAGTCGGGAGCCGCGCCTGTCGGCCGGCCCCGAAACGCAGTGTCCCGATCCTGTTCCTCGACCAGGACACCGAGTACGAGGCGCGCGTGCGGCCGTTCTACGACGACGCGGATGACGGCGGGGCGCGCTCGTACGCCCCGTGGTCGGAGCTTGGATACGGACGTACCGGGACGCACCAGCCGGACAGCGAGCCGGTGGTGACGCTCGCGCTCGCCGATTCCGATTCCCGTACCGAAGGCGAGCGCGTGCTGCTCCACATCGTCGTGTCGGAACTGCGCAACTCCTACCAGTGGCACGCTTACTCCGACGGGATCGTGGTCGGTCTGAAATACGGCTGGCGGAAGGGCGGCAACGTGCTGCCGGCCAGCTCGCGGTTCGGAATCGTGCCGGGAGTATTCACGGTGGACCACGGCCTCGGCGGGCATCGCGACTACCGCGTATCGCTGCCCGACTATGCCGCCGACACGGCCCGCTGACGATCACGCTGCAGCCGGGAGACGGCTACCAGGTGGGAGAGGCCGCGTCGGTGTGCGTGAGCATCGCCGACAGCGAGACCCTGGCGGCCAGGCCCTGCCCGGATGACGAGGACACCACCCAACCCGACGCGCAGGCCGGCGATGCGCCGGTGTCGATCGCGGTGCAGGACGCCCGGGCGACCGAAGGCGTGGACGAGATCATCTCCTTCGAGGTGACGCTCAGCGCCGCCGCGAGCGAGCCGGTGACGGTGGACTGGTCGACGGCGGACGGGACCGCCACGGCGGGCGAGGACTACGTGGCGTCTTCCGGGACGCTCACCTTCGCGGCGGAGACGGCGCGGACCATCGAGGTGACCGTGCTCGACGACGCGCACGACGAGGGCGAGGAGACATTCGCGCTGCGGCTGAGCGGCGCCGCCGGCGCGGAGCTGGCGGATGCGGAGGCGACCGGCACGATCGCCAACAGCGACCCCATGCCGCGGGCGTGGCTGGGCCGGTTCGGGCGCACGCGTGGGAGCACACGCTCGACGCGGTCGATCAGCGGCTGCGCAGCGCGCGCACCACCCGGACCGGCGCGGCTATCGCCGGCCGCAACGTCGCCGCCGCTCATGGTGGAGCGGACGCCGGTGAGCGCGAGCAAATCGCAGCGCTGCAGGCGTGGATCGACAGTGGAAACGGCCAATCCGAGGGGGCCGTGGTGAGCGGACGGGAGCTGCTTGCCGGCAGCGAGTTCCAGGCGGCGACGGCGGCGCCCGAGGGAGACGGCGTGGTGACCATCTGGGGCAGGGCGCGTACGGGCGCTTTGCCGGAGAGGACGGTGACCTTGCGGTGGACGGCGATGTCGCCAGCGGGACGCTGGGAGTGGATTATGCAACCGGGCCGTGGATGGCGGGGCTGGCGCTGTCGCACAGCTCGGGCTGGGGCAGCTACTCGCAGCCGATGACACCCGGCGGCGAGGTGTCCAGCTCGCTGACGGGTGTCTATCCCTACATCGGCCTGCAACTGGTGCCGGAGCGGCTGTCGCTGTGGGTGGCCGGCGGCTACGGCCTCGGCGGACTGCGGCTGGCGCCGCGCGGCGGGGAGCCGCTGGAGACGGAGATCGGCCTGCTGGCGGGTGCCGCGGGGCTGCGCGGGACGGTAGTGCCGGCAGCCGCGACCGGCGGGTTCTCGCTGGGAGTCAACGCGGACGGGCTGCTGTTGCGGGCGACCTCCGAGGCGGCCCGGGGTTGGCCGCCACCACGGCCGACGTGAACCGGGTGCGGCTGGGCCTGGAAGGGGCCTACGCGCTGGCGCTCGGCGCTGGCGCGGTGAGGAAGATCAGGAGGTGGGAGAAGCGGAGGAGGGATAGGATGAGAAGGCATCAGCGTCTACGGAGCAGCCATGACCTCGCCCGCGCCCGTCCTACTCGGCGTCTCATGTTTTCCCTCTATGGACCCGTCTCGACTAACTACCCCAGCCCCTCCCCGGTAATCTACTTGCGGACTGGACAGTCTGTCCTAGCTCGTAACCCGGAGTCCCGCTTAATGGTCAACCTTTTCCCTCAGGGGTCGATCTTCATCCGTCTATTACGGGATCTACGACTCCGTCCTCATGGGTAGACCTCTTTGTCTCCGTCTCGTTCGGCCTCCATTTCCCCTGAAGCCCCGCTCGGACGATATCAGCACTTCATGGAATACACCCTTAGCCCACACCCCATGCGCGAAATGTCCCTTCCATTTTCCCTTCGCTCTGTTCTCTCCTACAACTTCTGCTTTCCTCTCCTTTAATACGCCCTCCTCTGTCGCGATTACACTGTCACTCTAGACTTCCCCTCCAGCCACTTTTGCATCCGACCTCCCTCATTTTCCTGTTAGTCATCAGGTACATTAGTATCCCGTGTTTCCGCCGCACCTTACAACCCCCCCATCCAAACTCTACCTTCCGCTCTTCCCTTCGTTCCTCTACCGCGTATTCCCTTTTCGGTCCCTTGCCATCTTCCTCGGCTCCCCCCGTTTTTGCCATCGCTCCCCTCTCTCTCTCGAATTTATTCGCCCTTTTTCATCCGTCTTTACGTTTCTTTAGCCTCTCCTTCCACGCTTTCCATGGCGTTGCTTCGGGTGCCTCATCCGGTTCGGGCCGGTTTTTTTGTATCCTCCGCCTACTCCTACCCCACCCGTCTATCTCTTCACTCCTCCCATACCGTTGCCTTTCTCTTCCTTCGTTCCTGGCCCTTTCCCACCTCTCCCCGTATCCAATCGATGCTTTCAAGTTCCCGGGTGCATCTATACCGATTTTCACCCCTTCAACCTTCGTATTTCCATTACCCTCCTCTAGTTCTGTACTCAGCCCCATCTCGGCAGTTCTCCCGGACTTCATTTCGTGACCACCCCATCGTTTCTCTTCTTCCCTGCCCCGCTGCTCGGCCCCTCCCGCCTCATGTGGATTCTTTCAGACTCTCGGTCCGACTTTTTATACCACTACCCCGTGACCTATGCGTCCATATGTTCGCTCCCACGTTCTAGTTTCCTCCGCCCCTGTGCCACGTAGCAATTCTAGCATTTATCCCCTTATTTTCGCTCTTCTACTGCCCCTCACTCGATCCCATCCTTAACGCGTCCCTTCTTCGCCGCCCCTCTCCACCCCTAATTTCCTCTAAGCTCTGACCCCCCTGTCGGTGGTGCGGTTCCTGTGCCCCCTCGACGCCCATACCTCCTTATTTTCTTGTTTTTCTTCCCCTGTACGGTAGGCTGGCCATCGTCACTCCTTCGTGCCCTCGCTCTGTTTGGTAATTGCCTCTATCTCTTTCAATGGACGCCAGTCCTACCCCCCAACATTTCTTAATTTCCCTGACCCGCCTTATTAATCCATTTCTGGACAAGGCAAATGTTTCTTTTCGACCTTTCGTCACTTCATCCTCCTCTGTCCTTTCTCCTTCCCTTCTTGACCCTCTAACCCAGCACTTTCTTTTGCTTTTTACTCTACCAACCATCTTGTCCTGCTAAGACCCTTCTCTATCACCCCCCAAAGCATAATTTTTTCCCCCAGTTCTGCTTTCGCGCCCCATTTTCCTCGGTCTTTCGCCGCAACCTTCCCGCCTGTTACCCGTCTCCCCCCATTCAAATGGGTGTGGTCGTTCATTTCCGCCCTTTAATCGTCGTCCCTGTTATTGTCCTAAGGGCCCTCTATGGCGACCGCTTACGTCGTTGGCCCTCGCTTTGTTCGTTTTCGTGCTAGATTTCCTCCGTCCTGTTCCTTTGCTCCTCTGCAACCGCACCTTCCTTCTCACCGTCTTTCCCCCTTTGTTCTTATTTTTCTTGCCCGGTGCGCTTTTCCGTTTCTTTTTCTCTCCCTCGCCCCTTCCACGCCTCACTTTTTGCGCTTTTCAACTTTTTGCCTCTCTGTTCTGGATCTCCCCACCCATCCGCCCCGCCTCCCTCTCCTTCATATATCTTAGCCATGTCCCCTTTGCTCCGTGTTTGTGTTCCTACCCCGCCCGCATCCTTCTTTAGATCGTCCCGGCATAGCATTCTCGGGCCCACTTTTTTTTTTCTTTGCTTATTTGCGGGATTCCCATTGTCTCTGTGGGCAGTGTGCGGGGCGGCGCAAGACTCGGATCCAGCTGTCCACTCCTCATTTCGTGGTGGGAGACGACAGCATCTGCAGCGACTGCAACAAGAGACTGGGAAACAGGTGAACTCTATGAAACGATTATTTCCCCGTTCTTTTTTTTCATTTTCATAAATTCACGTCTGCTTATCAATGTAACGCCCCTCCCCCCTCTCCCTACACAGTGCCTTTGTGAGGTTTCCAGACGGCAGTCTGTCGCACTACTTCTGTGCCAAGTCCACAACCACCACAATCCCTTCTCCCTCCTCCTCCTCTGAACAATCTCTCACTCACCCACACACCTAGTCATCCTACCACGAGTATACCTGTACAATAGGAGTGTTTTATGATGAGGTTGGTTTTTGTGTGACTGTGTATAATACGCATGCGCGACATCTATATGGTCGTCATGGAAACCTAACATACAGAGCTAGGCGGCGGATTGAGTGCGCCACAGGGGCGGCCCTGGCACTTCGGCGATATGGCTCAGTTGGTGAAGGTATGGAGAGGAAGGAGGGACGTCATTTCCATGCTAGTGAGCGCGGCAAGGTTAGCTAGATCCTAGTTTCCTGTGTAGCTAAGACAGTTCTCTCGTGATTCTTGATTCTTTGTCCGTACGCGGGGGACGCCGGTGGGACAGGGAGGCGGACGAGGCGAGGGATAGAGAGTACGGAGCCGCAGTGACCATCCAGAGCTGGTTCAGAGGCTGCAGACTACGAGCTTACCTCAGGTGTACAATTATATACGGAGCATAGCTACACGCTCGCCGACAGGTTTAGCTAGGAGCTCAAATGGTGTAGCTACCCATGGAATGACTACTGCCTACTGCAGTTACCACATTCTTCTTTAGCATAAAATTGCTTCCGCAGACACTATGCAGCTCGCCACGTTTTAGGGTGTGTAAACTTGTTGAAGCGGGCTGTGGTCATTTGCAGGCAAAACCTCACCAATATAATTGTACTTGTTTGTTGTTTGTAATAAATGAACAGATACCTCTCGGAGTCTGCAACGGTCGTACAGAGATGGTACAGAGGTCACCTGGAGAGAGAGCTCTACAGACAGCTTCTCAAAGTGGGTTAATACTGTGCTGGTATGTGTGCACATGAGCGAGCTTTTATTCTAAGCAATTCACCCTACACACTCAGTTTGTCTGTGTGCCTGACTGAATTGGACCCAATATAAAAGCAAAGAACAGAGCTGTTTTTTTTTACACTCTCACGTGTTATTCTTTTGCAGAGTCTTGTTGCAAACATGGAGATTGATCACTACAATGCAATGGCAGAAAGGGTAAGCTTCAGTCTGTCTGTGCTGAAGATATCAAAACCTTTTGCCGCATTCGGAAGAAACTTATTTAGCAATCGTATTCTGATCAGATCCAGACCAGATGGAGGGGTTATTACGTCAGGAAATACGTGTTTGACTTCTACGCTCAACGACGCTACTTGACCGAGTTGATAAGAAAGAACGAGATAGTCGGTAGAAGGCTAGAGGAGGCAAGGATGCAGAAAGAGAGAGAGGAGACAGAGAGGCAAAAGACGGTGGAGAGGGTAAGTGAATAGAGAAGAAGAATATTTCATACAACCTTTGAAAAAGGACACTACGAATATCGGAAACCTCTTTACTTATTCTGCCCCGTAATAGTGCGTTGAATAAGGGACGTTTTCATTATCCCTAAGGTGGGCCCCGTATATTAAGATGCTGTATATTTACAAACCGCAGTTGAGGATGGAGACAGAACTAAGAAGGCAGCACCATATGCTCAGTACTGAATGTGTAAGCCGTACTCTCCATTTCTCTCTCGTGATTATGAACATCTCTCTTGGTGTGTGTATATATATTATAGAGGGGAGGAGTATACAAACCATTTAGAGAGGGAAGGTAAGTATAAAACGATAGACTTTCTATCACAGTGAAAATTAGCTCAAATGATGCTTTGTGTTGTATGTTGTTGGGTGTTGAGCTGTCGATATAGAATTTTCCACCACTGAAATAGGAGTCAGCCCCTGCCAACTGAGACAAGAATGAGGTCACTCAAATTCCACTCTTCCACTGGCAAATCAAAGCAGCGGACACTATCATGTGATAGTCATGTGACTGGAACAAGCCTCCCACCCGTACAACTACCCAACAAAACACAAGTAAGCTTTGATCTCCAGTGATGTAATGATTACGTCATTATCAAAACCCAGGGTCCATTCCACCATCCTGGAATGGTGTGGAGACAGAGACACAGGCCACTCAACCCTACACTTAGAGTGGCCACTCCCTTCAATTCTGAAGAAATTGCCAGGTCTCTCAAACATTGCAGAGAGAGAGAGAGAGAGAGAGAGAGAGAATGCATTTCAGGGAGAATATTTTCGTGTATTGGTTACCCTGATACTAGTGAAACCCTCGGAAAAGGACCCTCCTGATAATATACCACACGTCTCTATAGAGGACACTTGGTTCTACTCCATAACTCTGGATAAGGGACACCAGGAATGTTCTTATATAAGGTGTCCCTTATTAAGAGATTTCTAGCTCCTGAAGTGAATGAGATATATCACAACTCCTCTTTTATTCTCTCCCTCTCTACCAGAGCTGAGCTGAAGGCAAGGGAGTGGAGGGAGCGGGTGGTGGAGGACCCATTTATTCCTTTCTCCTCTCCCTCCACTACCTACCAGCCTCTCCTGCACACCACAAGCTCCTATACCAGGTAATAGTCTTCCATAATGGGCATTTTTTCTTCTCCAGGTTGGCCACATGTGTGCTTAGTTTCCAAGACTCTATAGCAACCTGGGTTCACAACATTACGTTGCATTGCCCCCCATTGCGCATCGTTTATCGTGTCACAAGGATAGAACTTTGATGCGATGTGGGACATGCAACAATTGTTGTGAACACAGCCGTATTCTTGGTATATATAATGCTGGAAATAGGCTGTTTCTATTACCTGAAGCACATATACATTCACCACTGTCTCTGCTTCATTGATATTTGTCCACAGGTTGGCCTACGGCACGGAGCACTTCAGAGACCAGCCAGCAGCCAGAAACATACACCACAAGGTCAGACCTTATTAGTGGGATCGAAATGGGATAACTACGAGTGGACTGTGTTTATTGCCTTTTTCTACATATTGACTGTTTTTGATCTGTTGGTGTCTCATTCCAGGGATTCCAGACGGTCGTTCCCCCAATCCCAGTGTTTGACAAACTCAACTCCACAATATACTAGCTAGCTCTAACCCTGTCAACACTCGCACAATCTCGCCAGAAAATGATTTGTCAGAAAAAAACCATTCCACGTTTAATCATCGATCGTATGTAAGTGTGTGTAAAATGTGTACAACACAGTATAGAAAGTAAAAAAAAAAACTTCAACACATACACATATATACATCACATCCTCTTTAGTAGTGATCTGCATAATGGTATATAGGGAAAAGTGAAGAAAATATCATTCAAACTTTACACCAAAATTGCCTTGATATTGGATTAAGGGTATTACCAACCATTTTACCACACCAACTGCTGATTGGAGCAGTGGGTCGTTACCATGCCAACCGGAAAGGGGGTGTGTCTGGTGGGTGTGGCTACATGTATCTACCATAATGGGCGGAGGTGTAACCATAGGGACTAGGAGAACGAGAAATGCGGCCTTCGCGATCACAGTTGGAGCGATCCCTGCAGGGGAACAAAGGGGTAAAACAAAATTCAGTCAGAATGGGGTTAAAACATTTAGAGAAGAGAATGTCAAGAGACAATCACTCCAGCAGAATGGAGTTAAATACTATGAGAAAGAAGACAAGGAAAAGGCACTCCAACAGAATGGGGTTAAAGATTTTAGAAAGAAGGGGTTAAATCAAGAACAGGCAGTCCTATCAAGCAGAATGGGGTTAAAGACTGAAGGAATAAATTTTTTTTAAAAACCAGGCAAACCTTTCTTTAATTCTCCTCATCTGGTCTCTCATTTCTTCCTCTCTTCCCTGCAGACATGAAACAGTAGATTCTCTAGACATTGCCTTTGTGTCACATCCTTCTACAATAGATAGAGAGGCTACAGTAGCCAGTAAAAGGACACCCTTGTAATAGAGAGAAAGAGGCAGGGAAAAGGTGAAGCGAGGAGATGAATCGCGTAGTCTTCCCGCTGGTAAATAACTTCCCCTACAATTCTCTCGGACTCCTTTTTATACTCTCTTTCCTTCTGTAGCTTCTTGTCCTGCTTGACTGCAGCATTGTATGTATGTATGTACATATAACAGGGGACAGAAAGAGTTGAAAATGACGTGAGGAAAGAGAGAAAGGTTGTTTTGACTTACACTGCCTCGAGAGCTGTGCCTGCATCTTCTTTTTCAGCCGTTCTTGAGGAGTTAGCTTCGCCTAATGGAACGAGAGAACAAAAGATAACAGTTGGTTGCCATTTTAAGATATTGGGAACATCAAAAGCGGCAGAACCAAGTGTTCCTTAGAGAGATTTTCTTTATTGGAGGGAATTGTGCAGAGGTTTTTACAAAATAAAGTTGAATCCATACATCCACACCTTTTCTTTTGTTGGTTTATTAGTCGCTTTTGATGTCTGAGGTAATCTGAGAGGTGGAAAAGCGGTGGTTGATAAACCAGTTGAACAGGTTTATCAATTCCAGTCTGACTTGTTCTTGCTAGGGGGTGTGGCCTCACTACTTGCTGTAACACTAGTACTACTGCTGCTGCTTGATTGGTGGGTGTGGTCTTGCTCTCTGCTCTGACTTCCACTGAAGGATTGGTGGGTGTGGTCTTGCTCTCTGCTCTGACTTCCACTGAAGGATTGGTGGGTGTGGTCTTGATCCCTGCTCTGACTTCCACTGAAGGATTGGTGGGTGTGGTCTTGCTCTCTGCTCTGACTTCCACTGAAGGAAACAAAAACCAAACAATACAGCTATAATGCCATTCATACAAGTGGCTCAAACAACCAAAAAAACTTTGAGTAAAAGACACATTTGGTACATTGAAAGTGTCCTTTATTCGGTATTAGTTTGAGGAAGAAAGTGAGAGATGGTCGTTTTGAGGGGTTCTGCTATATTACAGCAACAGTAGACGGGTACCTCTTCCCCTCACCTTCTCTGCCTCTTTCTCTCTCTACTGGACGAGCGATGGGACCTCTTGTGAGAGCTGTCCCTGGATCTGGAACGGGTGTCTCTGCCTCTGGAACGGGAATCTCTGCGTCTGGGAGAACGGGAATGTGAATCCCTCTGTCTCGGGGAATGGGAACGTGAATCTCTGCGTCTCAAGGAATGGGAATGGGAATTCCGACGTCTTGGAGAACGAGAATTTCTACGTCTCGGAGAACGTGAGCGTGAGCGGTGTCTCGAAGACTGACTGTTTCTCCCTCGCCTTTCCCCAGCTCCACTCCTGCCGTCTCTCCCAGATTTCGGTACCGCTTCACGACTGCCTGATTGGTGGGCGTGGCCAAGAGGCTGATTGGCCCCGCCCCCTTCATCGTCTCCTCCAAACTCGGTGATAAATTCCACTTTCCCCTCCCCAGGAGTGCTGGAACGAGAACTTGACCGGCTCCTGGGGACAGACAGACAGACACATTCCACAGACACATTCCGCACACCAAGTGAGAATAAAAAATGTTGCGATTCAGTATGTGGCAAACACAGAGAAAAAAACGTATGTAGAGATTGCTGTTTCTAAAAATTCACCGTACCAAAACATTTTGCAAAAAATTTTCATGGAAGTTGAAAAAATCCTCCCCCTGCAATAATGGGGGAATTTGCACAAAATGCATCAAATAGCTTGGTGCAAGGGGTAATTGGGTACTCCGATTCCCACACATCCGTACTGCCATACCTCTGTTCTGGTTTGTTGTAGGTTTCATACGTTGGGCTTCCCCTCTGGGCGTAGGTGGGCGGAGTCAAAACCCTGCGCGGAGCACGCTCCCTCATCTGGCGGCGCTCTCTCCGTGACCTTCGACCCTGGAGAAAAGGGGGCGGAGTCTCTGTGATCAGGACACCTTATTAAGGCCACGATACACACGATACAACTTGGTTGTGTGGGACAAATTCTCACCCCAGTTTCAAATGTAATACAAATGCTTGCACAGGCCCATCATACCCATACTTTAGCAGTTGCATGTGAGAATTTATTTCATGCAAAAAGTTGCGTCGTGTATAGCCAAGAATCAGGACACCATATTAGGCAAACCAGGACACTATTAGGTGAATCAGGACACCATAATAAGTGAATCAGGACACCACATGAATCAGGACGCCATATTAGCAGGTGGGTGTCCTGAAAGGAGAGAGAGGTATGTGGTACGCTGTACGGACTGGCATGGAAGCCTTCTCAATGTCTGAGATGCGGGCCTGCTTTGCTTCTTCCATGCTCTTCTTCTCCGTACGAAGATTCCTGCAAAAGGAAGAGAGAGAGAGAGAGAGAGAGAGAGAGAGAGGGGAAATTCTTACAAAGTGTCTCCTTGCAGTGAATTTAAGGTGAGCAATCAAAAAGGGAATGTGGCACATTTCCCTCCAACTCACTGAACATAAAAAGGCTGAAAAAAATCGTCTGAAAAAGTGCAGCATTGTGGTGGAATAAACCCGGCATATGACTACCAGCACACCAATTCATTGTTCTTTGTGTGTGTGTTCAAATGTAAGGGTTTAATGGCCGACTGATAATCCATCGTCTCGAGAGTGAAACTGAAGACTAACTTGCTGAAGGAGCTCGCTGCCACTCCATACTCAAGAGCCAGTACATTCAGTCTGTCGACATCGGCTGGACTATAGTCGTCCAAATCAACATCCACTTCTACACACAAAGAAAGGGTGCAAAATTTTGACACACTTCCAAAACACAAATATTTTAATAGGAGTGAGCCCCCATAATTATCGAAACACCTTCAAACGGTTCCTCCGCAAAAATGGCTGTATACAGGCAGGGAAATTTGTATTGTGAACAGGCCAGCTGAGAATTTTTTTCACCGTAAAATTCTCGTTTGCTAATGAATCGCGAAAAAATGCATTACTATAATATCATAATATTGCCCCCCAAATAAGGGACGCTTCTTTAAAAATACACTTGGTTCTGCCCCATACTTGTATTATACTACCTCTGGATAAAGGACACCTCTCTATACTAATACATAGGGACACCTCTCCATATATAAGTTCTGCCCCATACTAATACATAGGGACACCTCTCTATATATAAGTTCTGCCCCATATATACTAATACATTATTACCTCTAAATAAAGGACTCTTTCAATGTACCCAAGATGTCCCTCATTCAGAGGGTCCGCTGCTACGTCTAGTCTCTCACCATATTCACTCTCGCTACTGAAAACCTTGTCCTCTCCCTCCCCATCGTCTTCCCCGAGGTACTCTGCCAGCAACTGCTCGTCTCTCATGGCCTGCGCAGCCTCCTCTGACGTCCCTCCGTACGAATACCCAATGGCCGCTCTTGCCTGAGACCTGTACAGCACAACAGAGGAAAACAGCTGCTAGTCTTCTGAACAGAAATATTTTTTTTCCTCACAAATATTTTACAATCTTGTCAAACAGGCTTGGATCTACTTTTTTTAAAATCGGCACGCATATATCATAGGAAATAAGTAAAATGTAGTGCAAGGAGTGACACTGCCTTTCTCTGTTATGTCCCACAATACATTATGTACCTTCGAATAAGAGATGGATCTGAACACTTTTGAGATGACCCCAAAGTGTCCCTTATTCAGATGATGTAATCTTATTCATATGATGTAATCTTACTCAGATGACGTAATCTTATTCAGATGATGTAATCTTATTCAGATGATGTAATATCTGAATAAGGGACACCTTATTACGTGGCCAGATTTCGTAAATCTGAATAAACTAACTTTGCCTTCTCTCTGAATCCACCGCCACTATTTCCACCTGAGGATTTCCCTGGAATATGGAACATCTCCTCAACGTCGATCACTGCCAGCGCATCCTGTTCCGAAACCCGTTTAAACTGGTTTAGAACCAGAAATCTGTATCTCTCGTAATTACAGCGTTGCTCTTCCCACTCCTCGGAGACTGACTTTCTGTGAGTGGTGAGGGAGAGGGGAGAAGGGGGAGGGGGGGAAGAAAAATAGAATTCGCTCGCCAAAGAGGTATAAGAAACGAGTACTTATGAAGAAAGGGAAAGTACAGCGAAAGATTAAATTTAGACGAAGAAAACAAAGACTGTTTGTCTGTGACTTGTGATATGGCTGAAGTACAAAGTAATATGCAAAGGTTTGAGGATTTGCAGAATGTCATTGGTTCCAAATCGAGTTCCAGTTTCACATGATGCTTGTGAACTTTCAACGCTCTCAGCGTCAGAAATAGCGCACTTACGTGGGTTTGGGAAGCTTGGAATAGTCAGGGATGTAGTCAAGATTCACACGGACATCGTATCGCGATATCATGTTAGCTTCGTCCCCTTGCCACGGAATCCTGTGAGACGAGTGTTAATTTCTCCCCCTTTTCTCAATTTTGCTCTCTTTCTCTCTCTCTCTCCCTCTCTCTCTGCCTATCTCTCTGCCTCACATGCTGCTGCTCATCTTGCTGGCTGCAGGGTTCAAATGAAGAGGAGTCTTCCTCCCGTACACCCTCATCAACTGCATCGGATCTTTCCGCTACAGAGAGAAACAGGACACCTCTCTTTAACCCTTCGAGCACATGCACAGAAATGCGTGGGTCATTTGCAATCGCCATGCACACAAGGACACTTGGTTCTGCCTCACACCGATATAAACAAGGACGCCTCTGAATAAAGGTTTTTGATGTCACACACGAGTTTTACATATTCTAATATTCAGAGTTACACAAACAATGCTGACGTATATATACCTCTTTGGCATAGTGCTGTCGCCGTCTCTCTGCTCTCTTCTGGAAGTCCACCACAGCCTCTCGTATCTTCTTCTCTTGTTTCCTCGCCTCGTGCCACATCTCTCTCTCTCTCTCTCTCTCTCTCTCTCCCCTCGTTTTCTTTCTCTATTCTGCGCACGCCGCCCGCATGCAGTTTGTTTTTGCAAATTTCGACAGAAAAAGGTTAATCTGCAATTGGCGCACGCGGGTTCAAAGTTCAGTGCGAAGAAAAATGGCCGCACGTATAGTAGTACCACGCGAGGCTCCCTCCCTCTCTCGCCTCTCTCTCCTCGTTCTCTGTCTTGCGCTGAGCTGCTGTCTTGGTCGAGGAGAAGAGAGCGCCGTACGCGTCATTACCACCGAAAACTTCGACGACGTATCTCAGGGAGATTGGATGCTAGAATTGTATGCACTTGGTTTACTATGACGGTTTCTAGGACCGTTTCTAGGACCGTTTCTAATGCGTGTTTTGTGTTTTGCTAGCTATGCTCCGTGGTGTCCGGCCTGCAAACAGTTTGCCAAGACGTGGGAGTCGTTTGCGGAATGGGCTGCCGCCGAGAAGAACGGACTGCGTGTTGGAAAAGTCGACGTCACTACCGAAAGTGGTACACACATACACCCTATCTAATTAAGTGAAAGTAATTTTGCGATTTTTCTCTAGCTTTGAGTGGTCAGTTTATGGTGACCCACCTGCCGAGTATTTTTCAGTGAGTGGTTGACCCAGTCAAACGGGTTCTTCTGGTTTTGAGATTAACCCCTTTCCCTCCAGCATTCACGAGGGGGAGGTGAGGGGTTACAGCAAAAGTCGAACACTGGAGGATCTGCAGTTGTACGTGGGGGAAGAAGAGTGGAAGAAGAAACCGGCGTTGCCATGGTGGCGGAGTCCCACTGCCAAACAGTGGGTGTGGCTTACAGTGTCTTTACATGTTCTTTCTAGCTCTTTCTATCCCTCGTGCTCGTGTGCTTGTGAGTGAGTGAGTGTGTGTGGTGTGTGTATTATGTACAGTTGCATGCTTTCCCATTACCCTTACCTTTCTCTTTTTATTGCCCACCCTTCTCTCGCAGTATGAAAGCATTGGGTGTGACCTACTGGATTTCACAGAAAGGGAAAGAACTTCAAACAATGTTGGAGAAGGAATACGAGCTACCGACGTACACCGTGTACGTGATAATCGCCGTGGCAACCATCGTTGTTGGACTACTGTTGGGCGGGGTAAGTTTTATAACCGTAGATCAAGATATTACTTGGAGTAAAATGGAGTAAAATCCATGCAAATTGACTTCTAAAAAATGTGATTTTTTAAATCGCTAAATCTGGGGCATGATCCATGCACTTGCTGTAATGTACAACCTCTTCTAAAGGGAAAAAAGAGCTGCCCTGAGCTGGTGGGACTCAGAACCCACGACACTCTGCAGTCTAGGCAGAGGTCTCTACCAACTGAGCTATATCTACTACCACCAGGGCAGCTATAGGAGCAGCAATTGAAAGAAGAGCGTGCGTATGTTGTACCTAAAACTCTGATGATGGAACAGTGAAAGATGGGGGAGAGGAGGAGGAAAAAGGAGGTGAGAGGCTGGTCCAGACTGTCTACACATCAGACGACAACAACAGCAGCGCCACGGCCTGGAGCAATGTCGGAATTACCTCGCGGAATCTCTCCCGCATTCCCCGCTGACCACATGACAACCGCTCCGTCGGGGGAGTGACCTGCATCCTGTTGTCGGCGGCAACCAGCCCGCCACTCCACTGCAAATTCCACTACCTTGAACGGAGTGGCTTGTATTCCACCGACCTTCTTGTTTGCTGCATTGTAGGACAAAATGAGCTCAAATGAACTCAACTGGCATATTATACTAGTGTAATTCAATAGTTCAAACGTTTACTTATGATTCCACTGAGCTTGTTTACCGTGCTATGTTCTTTTGGTTGTATAATCAGTCGCCGCAACAGATGGTACACGAAGGGTTAAAATACAAATTGTGGGCAGATGGTTAAAGGAGATGGTGCGCAAAGGGTTAATATACAAATTGTGGGCAGATGGTGAAAGGACAAGTCACCAACACAAGTATTCTCAGATGGTTAATAACTCTGTGGCGCTAAACGAACCAATTAGTTGGTTTATCACATAATGTGTTTTCAAACATGTAGGACTAAATAGTAGCAGGAGAAGAGAGATAGAGAAGTCATAGTGACTATGGACAATATAAGCGATTTTATCAACTTTCACTGTAGCAGACCGACAAATGAGAATGTTTCAGCCTTCCTCAGCTGATATACAACTCGTATTAAGTGCAGGTACGTTCATAGATGATTTATTCATGCACTGGTGTAAGCTGATGGTGTAGCTAATGGTTAAAGCTCTTGCATCTGGAGCGCAGTTTTTCTGCTACCTCGGTTCGAGCCCAGCAACTACTACTTTTTTTCAACCTCACTGATGGATGGGTATAAAGGCGAAATTTCAACTGATTCCTTCGGGTCACTCATGTGGCGCAATCAGTAGAAGTGGGGACTACCAGTATAAAGGTTCCGGTGGTCGAGAGATCGAGCCCGGGCTGGAAGCTGGTAGGTGGTCCAGAGCACTGGCTGGGAACAGCTCTGGTTCCTCCCCTTACCCACTCTCTGTTTGACAATACTGAGTGCCCCCCCTTCACTGGACATGTTGGCCGCATGCTTGGTGGAGTGGTTTTTTTTTTCAATAATCAGTGCATTTTAGTCTTCTTGTCCAGTGGAGTACACTTTTTTTCTTTTTTTTCTTTTTTTTTCTCGAAGTCATGCTGTGTATATTAGCTTGTGGTAACTTGAAGTTGCTTCAGTGCATTTAAAAATTTTTGGTTTCAAGTGAATTAGTAATGTATGTTTGTAACTTGAAGGGGGTGACTACTTCAACGCTCAGTGAAGGAGTATGGGGGGATTATTAAATGCTCTATTTTTTAGCAAACTATAAAAGACGTTTTTTGCATTTCACGATTACGTTGGTTGCACGTGAAAACGTCGCCACATGCACTTATAATTCATGAAAAAAGTGATTTTGAGATGATTTAGATTCAGGCTTAAGGAGCTATAAGTGGTAGTTATCTCTAACTTCTAAAAATGGAATGGGAACTCTATTAATATTGATTTGTTATCTTCTAAATATAAACATGGAACTTACGCCGAAATGCATGGGCCTACATCCTCATTCCAAAGGTTTCATTCCAAAATGGTACAAGAACTGAACCTCACTAATGAAACTCTTTCAGCTTCAATCACACACCAAGTTTTCCATTGTTGCAGTGTTTACCAACAACCTGCAGTAATTTAAACTATTGCAAATCCTCAGCAATTCCATTGTATACAATGTGCAGGCTCGCTGCTATAATTATATGGTAGCTTTTGCCAGGCTTGCTCGCTTGCAGGAAGTGAATTTTGTTCAGCTTCTGCTGCTCATACCGACATTTTTGCCAAACATCACTCCATCGCTTTCTCTGGCTCCTTCCCTTTCCTAAACCTCTCTTCCCCTTCCTCACCTCTCTCTCTCTCCCTCTCTCTCTCTGTCTCCCTTTCTCCTACAATAGTATCTTATTTTTACTTCTCTCTCCCTCTTCTCCCTCCCTCTTTCTCTCTCCAGATAACCGTTTGTTTCATCGAAATATGTATCCGAATGTGCTCGCGAAAAGAAGCCACGAAGAAGTTGCCACGGAAACAGGAAGGCCCCAAGCCTTCCCCACCCCCTGAACAAGTGGGCGGAGCTTCAGAAAGTTCTGAGCAAACCGACGAGCCAGGAGAAGGTAGCTGAGATTATTTTCCCAATATGGACAAATTTGGTGTCCAAACTACCTCAGTTAATTTATGTCAATAGCACAATCTGGGATGTATGTAATGGACAAAGAACGTATATTTAACCTCTGAATAAAGGACACCTCTGTATAAAACTTATTGTGTGGTCGTATGCAGAGGGTCAACCATATGTAATGTTATTGTGTGCTCACATGTTATTGTATATGTGTATGCCACAATGATTTATTGTATGACACTGTTTCCATGACTGCACCAAGTAACAGTAAGGCACTCTAGAAGCTATATTGTATCAACACTGATTATGTTTATTTCCCATTACATCATGGCGATATCACCCCATGCCCGATGATTTATGTATCACTATGTCATAGTTCTGCTTGAAGCCTCTAATGTGGTTAGTTGGAATGTGACGTGCTAACAACACTTGTCAGTTTATTTGCATGCCAGGTGTTGTACTTCGGAATTATGACTTCCGATAACTGACCCATTTCAGTGGAACCTCTCTAATCCAGACACCAATGGGACAGAAGAAAGTGTCCGTATTAGTGAGGTGTCCTTATTTGAGGGGTTGAATTGTGTGCATGACCTATTCTTGGGGAAAGAAAAGGTGTCCTTACTAGAGAAGTGTCCTCATTTCAGGGGTGTCCTTAGAGAGAGGTTGAACCGCAGAATACTTACTACTTGCCTTCCTGTTTTTGTAAACACAGCACGGAATCATAATTTCTTTCTCTCTCTCTCTCTCCTCTCTCTCTATCTCTCTCCTCTCTCTTCCGTAGTGCCGGTGTCTTCTAAAACAGCAGCTGGAGTTGTTGCAGAGTCTCCGAACGCGGACAAAGAGAAGAAGACGAGAAAGAGAAAGAGGAACAAGGTATGCAAGGAGAGTATGATCGTGTAATGCTCAAGATTACTAGAGTGTACAGTAAGATTACTAGAATATACTGAGATATAAACACAAAGATTACTAGATTAGATAGGATAATTTAGTGCTGTTGAGGTGTTTGTGTACACACCTGCAATATGTCCTTGCGATTATTTTGCCTCTCCTTAATGAAGTCAAATTAATATTGCTATGCCCACCCTCTCTGGGGTACTCGAACCGTACATGTCTTTTTTCTCTTGGCATCACATGGTCTATTGTTACACATGTACAACATGTAATGAAACATGACGTGTGGTACATAACAGAGAAAGGAAAAGTAAGAGCGATGCGCATGAGGTGAGAGGTATGTGTGTGTGCCTGGTTGTGTGGGCAATCGTCTGCCACTTACCACATCAAAAGCTTTGCCGCTCACTCCACATGTTTCTCAGCTATGTATCGGCACGGCGACACATCGCCATGCCGACGTGTGGTATTCAAAACTAATCCTTTGCTGGAGCGCACGCAATAGAACTTGCGCCTATCAAATCTCAAATTAGCTTCGACAGATATCAAATGAGCAGTAGTAGTGACAGCTACGAGAGAATCTTCTTTTTCTGTTACTTTACCCACCTGCCCTAATGAATATGTGACTGCCGTCGTAGTAACGGAGTAATTGGACTGACTGCTCCACATATTTCGGAAGAGGTTCAAAGCCGACTTAACGATATTCACGAGGCTGGAAAAGGCCTAGTGAATTGGTCTGCGAGTGTGGGTTGAGGAGGAGGGAGGGGGAGGGAGAGATCGAGGGACCCGCCTAGCACGGCAAAATGCACCTTGAAGAATTAGCCGTAATGGCAGTGTTATGCGCGAATTGTATGTTTCCTTGAATGGCATTTTGGGACTTGATTGAGCAAAAGCAATTTCTTAGGGCAAGACGATTACGTGATATCGTGCGTCCCCAGTTTTCGAATGTTGCAGAATTGCATGCGGTCCGTGAAAAAGTCTAACAATTATTGTTGAACTAAGATGGATCTGTTCGCCCGCCAATGCATCGATGCATAGTACGTAATATTGTTGCTTCAGTATCGATGCAGTCGAACCACTCCGAACTAGAGTACAAGTACCCTACACACCTCGTTCCCCCTGCGAATCTGTTCGTAGAGAAGGTTCAGTACACTCCAACCACCGATGCAGTCGAACCACTCCGAACTAGAGTACAAGTACCCTACACACCTCGTTCCCCCTGCGAATCTGTTCGTAGAGAAGGTTCAGTACACTCCAACCACCGATGCAGTCGAACCACTCCGAACTAGAGTACAAGTACCCTACACACCTCGTTCCCCTTGCGAATCTGTTTGTAGAGAAGGTTCAGTACACTCCAACCACCGATGCAGTCGAACCACTCCGAACTAGAGTACAAGTACCCTACACACCTCGTTCCCCCTTGCGAATCTGTTCGTAGAGAAGGTTCAGTACACTCGAACCACCGATGCAGTCGAACCACTCCGAACTAGAGTACAAGTACCCTACACACCTCGTTCCCCCTGCGAATCTGTTCGTAGAGAAGGTTCAGTACACTCCAACCACCGATGCAGTCGAACCACTCCGAACTAGAGTACAAGTACCCTACACACCTCGTTCCCCCTTGCGAATCTGTTCGTAGAGAAGGTTCAGTACACTCGAACCACCGATGCAGTCGAACCACTCCGAACTAGAGTACAAGTACCCTACACACCTCGTTCCCCTTGCGAATCTGTTCGTAGAGAAGGTTCAGTACACTCCAACCACCGATGCAGTCGAACCGCTCCGAACTAGAGTACAAGTACCCTACACACCTGGACCTTCCTCCCCTCTCGTTTTCTGTCTACCTTCTTCTTCACTCTCACCTTTCTTATCCTCCCCTCCCTCTCCTCTCCGTACTTAGTGATCCTCTCCTCCCTCTCCTCTCCGTACTTAGTGATCCTCTCCTCCCTCTCCTCTCCGTACTTAGTGATCCTCTCCTCCCTCTCCTCTCCGTACTTAGTGATCCTCTCCTCCCTCTCCTCTCCGTACTTAGTGATCCTCTCCTCCCTCTCCTCTCCGTACTTAGTGATCCTCTCCTCCCTCTCCTCTCCGTACTTAGTGATCCTCTCCTCCCTCTCCTCTCCGTACTTAGTGATCCTCCCCTCCCCTCCGTCCCTCTCTCCGTACTTAGTGATCCTCTCCTCCCTCTCCTCTCCGTACTTAGTGATCCTCTCCTCCCCTCTCCTCTCCGTACTTAGTGATCCTCTTCTCCCTCTCCTCTCCTCTCCGTACTTAGTGATCCTCTCCTCCCTCTCCTCTCCGTACTTAGTGATCCTCTCCTCCCTCTCCTCTCCGTACTTAGTGATCCTCTCCTCCCTCTCCTCTCCGTACTTAGTGATCCTCTCCTCTCCATACTTAGTGATCCTCTCCTCCCTCTCCTCTCCGTATTTAGTGATCCTCTCCTCCCTCTCCTCTCCGTACTTAGTGATCCTCTCCTCCCTCTCCTCTCCGTACTTAGTGATCCTCTCCTCCCTCTCCTCTCCGTACTTAGTGATCCTCTCCTCCCTCTCCTCTCCGTACTTAGTGATCCTCTCCTCCCTCTCCTCTCCGTACTTAGTGATCCTCCCCTCCCTCTCCTCTCCGTACTTAGTGATCCTCTCCTCCCTCTCCTCTCCGTACTTAGTGATCCTCTCCTCCCTCTCCTCTCCGTACTTAGTGATCCTCTTCTCCCTCTCCTCTCCGTACTTAGTGATCCTCTCCTCCCTCTCCTCTCCGTACTTAGTGATCCTCTCCTCCCTCTCCTCTCCGTACTTAGTGATCCTCTCCTCCCTCTCCTCTCCGTACTTAGTGATCCTCTCCTCTCCATACTTAGTGATCCTCTCCTCCCTCTCCTCTCCGTACTTAGTGATCCTCTCCTCCCTCTCCTCTCCGTACTTAGTGATCCTCTCCTCCCTCTCCTCTCCGTACTTAGTGATCCTCTCCTCCCTCTCCTCTCCGTACTTAGTGATCCTCTCCTCCCTCTCCTCTCCGTACTTAGTGATCCTCTCCTCCCTCTCCTCTCCGTACTTAGTGATCCTCTCCTCCCTCTCCTCTCCGTACTTAGTGATCCTTTCCCCTCCCCACGGGGCTCTCCTTCTCCCCCCTCCCCACGGGGTTATTTATTTGTGTGTCCAATTCCGACAGACTCGGGCATATTGGCGCGTGATCTTCTGCGGTTTACACGTCCGTCAAAACGCCTACAAAGAAAGCCGAACCATCTCATTTTCACTTGTAATCGCCGTAAGTGAGTCATTCCTGGTCACACGATATGACCACTGGGTGATCGTGTGTGACCTGGTATTTCTTTGGAGCGAAATTCTGCGGTTTTATTCAGCAATTCATTAAGGTGTTGTTTGTGTTGGGATTTATTTGAGTGTCCCGATATGCGTACATAGAAGGGATAAATAAAAGAAAAAATCTTTTACTAAGAATTTTTGCACTGTTTAGCCCTTTTGTACTGCCATATTGTCTTAAGATTTTTTGTGTGTGGAAGAGAGTGGAGAGAGAGAGAAGGTTAATGCGGCCGTTCTTAGCATGACATCATCGTTATGAGCAATGTCTGTGTGGTGTTGGTCCTGTGCATATTTCCAGTGTAACTCCTCTACCAACAGTCGACACTCACTCAAACAAACAGAGGCCACACTTTAACCCTTTTCCCACCAGCCCACACTTTCATCCATTTCCCACCAGGCCACATTTTAACCCTTTTCCCACCAGCGCACTCTTTAACCCATTTCCCACCACCCCATTCCCTAGTTTGCACAAAGCACATACGAGCGATCATCTTGATATGCTGCATGCTATCCCGTCCTACTCATACATTTGTAAATATCCACGAGGCTTTTTGGTCTTGCACGACATAATACTGCCTCTGCACTCTAGAACAGTAAAGCTCTCAATTGTTGAAAGAAATCCTTGTCAGAATTACTTTACCATTGATTCGTGTTTTCAGACGGGGGGGTTTTGTAGGGTTTTTTTTGTATATTATTCAAAACTGGTTTTTACGATTGAAAAACTGGAATGCGTGAGTACGCAAGTGCTTGTGGAAACCGGACAGTCTTGTTTGTGACCGGTTTGGTTCCGGGTTTGGGGAGGAGTAGTTGTTGGCTGTTCAAAACGACTTATAGTGGTGAATTGGATCTCAAGTGAACTGAATTTGAGATGACAACAAGAGAAGTTGGGTGGCGAGCCTCCCACTTGGGGCCCGACGCCTTTCTGTCTCGACAAACAGCTGCGGAGAATGCCGCACGTGTTTGCCCGAGAAAGAGAAGGGGGAAGGGGAAGGGATGGTTTTCGCTAGAAGGGAGAAAGAGGAGAGAGGAGGAAGGATGGAGAAGGATAGCTGGCTTGCTGGTGTAGATTTCACATGCTCTAGTGGCGGAAGAGAGGGTCACATCATCTTTGCACGAGAAGGAGAAGGGGGGAGTGATTTGTTTTACGAGGGACACAAGAGATGAAGAGGGAGATGAGAGGAAAGGAAGTTTATATGTACATAAGGTGTTGTTTATAGGCGTGTATGGCAGAAGTTACGGTCAGAGGTATGTGTTAGGGTGTAAATGTATGTGTTTTGTAGCTACCATAATATTTAGCTTGCGTTCGTTCGTATATGTCCGTGTGTAGAGGGAAGGGCTGGGGAAGGGTGGGGAAGGGGTTAAAATTCCAAATTTCGAACCGAGCACGAGTGCACACCTGGAGATAGGGAGGAAGGAGTGTCGTGGTAACAAGAGTAGAGATTTCGTTTCGTTACTACGTCTGTGCGATAGTTGCTCTCTGCCAGAAGGTGGAGCTTAATTCGACCGACTTTTAACCCTCGCGACCCCACCACGTATGAACCGTGTCAGTGTGGGAGGGGTTAAATGACCTCACACGCCGACCGTGTACAGATGGGGGGTTGGGGAGGAGTTGTGGTGGTCAGGGTAAGAATGTCCATCGTATAGTGCGCTCTCCTCCCCCCCCACTGGTTGTTGTCGTTTGCGCTCACTGGTGTGTGTGACTTGTGAATTGAGCAGAATGCCTGTCCACTATGGATGGCAGCTGGTTGTCTGTGGGTGAGTGAGCCAGCTGTTGCCACTTATCGCGGGGGAGGCTGGGACAGTGGTTTTGGCCTGCATGCAGTGTCCTGAATGCATGGGTGTCCTGATTAGAGAGGTGTCCTGATTAGTGAGGTGTCCTGATTAGTGAGATGGTAGGTGTCCTGATTGTAGAGGTGTCCTGATAGTGAGGTGTCCTGATTAGAGAGGTGTCCTAAATCTCTTCCGGCTGGCAACCACATCAACTGGAGGGAAGCCAAACCGTTCAAACGACACACACCTGCCAAACCAGATTCTCTAGCTAGTAAACAGGATATACCAAACCGAGAATCGCGCACACAAGCACAATTGAAGCCTCTCTCGGTAAAGGAAAAGCCTGCCTCATAGCCCATAGTAGTCCCATGATGTTAGAGAAATATGTGGGGTTTTTTGCAGGGCATATATAAACATCCGGCACTTTTTGAACAGCAACTCCTTCGCTTGAATGTCCTCACTTTAACTTAACGACACACAAACAGGGGATTTTTGCTGTCCCTAGCTCTCATTCCATGCGGCTATTTCAATATAAGTCAGTATGGTGACATAATTCTTTAACCCTTTGGACGCCATGGGTATCTACTTAAATAGGCAGAAATAGATGTATAAAGTATTAGCGCTTAGTATGTATAACCCAAATATAAATTCTTATGGAGGCTCTGGACACATTTATGTGTCAGTGGCTGGTTAAGTGTCAATCCCAAACCTTCTCTTCATAAGCATTTGTTTTGATATTTGTAATAGCTGCTGTAGTGTACCACTTTTTCACTGCTCGTTAAACCTGCACGCAGCTTTTGGTACATTAGAAGTAAGTATTGTTTTGATATGCTATACATGTGGCTTGTTATGGAGAGGAAGATTATTACTATAACACAATATTGAAAACAAGATATTGTGTTTGAAATGATTTATATAATGCCCTCTCGGTGTACGATATTGTAACTCAACATGTAAGCATCGTCTGATAGTTGCCGTGGAGACCAGTATCCAGCGAGTCTCGGGCAGCATTTGAGCCGCTGCTTGTATCTCTTCAAGCGTAGTGAGTGTTGTATTGGGTGACATGGACGACGTTCGAAAAAATTCGACCCGTTTCGCTATGGCGATCACGCAGGGATCGTCATTGGAAACGAAACACTATATAGAGCTCAGAATGCGTGCTAATCAGATTTACATGGTGGTTTTTGTGTGGTGAACGGCGTAGATAGTATTAGGCTGGTATAGGGGGAAAGAGAGTAAGAATTAGCAAAGAATTTTCCACTGCATACTTGACTCAGTTGAGCCTGGTGTAGTTTTTGGACCTGGAGGTGATCGAGGGGAACGTGATCTGATTGGTCGATTAGTATAGGGTTACCGGGCAACCGGGTGTAACAATTGGCTCCCTAGCAGAGTAGGACGACGTCGCAGATTAGGACAATTTAGTTCAGAACGCGGGTAATGAGTGCTCATAAGAACAGTGTTTGCCTTTGCTAATAAGCAACCCTTCACCAAATTAGCCAGCAAGGACAAAAGCCCGCTGTTGTAATTGCACAGACCTTCAAGGTATTTGGTATTTTAGGATACTGACAACTATGGAACGTTATTAAAAGCCTCCCACGGAAACAGCAGGCTGCAGTGTGTGTGTGTGTGTGTGTGTGTGATATAAGAAATAGCCGACCAAGCGATCATTTAGGACCTGCTAGTTGAGTGTGTGTAAGTTGGTTACTGAACCGTGCGATGATGTTGCCACGAAATTCGAGTGGTGTCATGAGCGGTGGGC